ACTGAGGAGAAATGGAGATAGATGTTTGTGTATTTCAAAGTTTTATGATTTGTTTTATAGCCGGTTCGTCATCTTATATGCTTACTTGATTTCTTGACCCAGTTCTGAGTTTCGGATCATCTGCAGGGTGTCCTCAGCTGTGAGGGTTGCCTGAGACACGTAATTCCAGAATGCGTTTTTCACCAGATCCATACTGGGCACTGACTTCTCCTGCCACAACATACTGGCATGACAACCTAAAGGATTCATCATAATTAAAAAATATTAACTGGTTTAAAACAACATTTTCTGACCAGTTTTGAGAGCACCTCCAATTTTTATTCAAACACTTAAACAAACAAACACTTACCAGTGAAAACTGCAATGACAAACACTACCAGGACCTTCATGATTATGCGCAGACTCTACACGAAAAAAAAAATTTCATTTTGTCAGGCAAGACCACTATAAATATTTTTGACTAGTTTGCATTTAACCGAAAAGAACATACAGTAAGTATGCATTCATTTGTGTTTTTGTCCAGTTGCTTACCTTTCTCTTGTCCTCTTCTGTGTGTAAGTGTTGAGAAGGAATCAGCACTGTATTTAAATGGGTTGCCGAGCTCTGATAAAGGCAGTAAAGTCCAGAAGGCAGTGCCCTGCTGTCAGCTCTACATGCCATGTCAATTATTCCACATCATGAAATCAACCCAACTGAACTGAACTCAGATCTGTGACTCACAATTATTCCTACAGAGTCCGATATAAGTACTGTATAACAAGGAAGTCTAAAATTAATGTCCTATAAAACTTAAAAACATCCAAATTAAGGAAAAGGGAAAACAGGAAAAATAATACTATCACATTTTAAATCATTCCTGTATTATTAGTTTGGGTTTAGTTTAAAGTATTTTTTTGGAACATAGTTTTGAGGAAAATTGTCTTCATTATTGGGGGAAAACCCACCAATGCTAGCTCCCATGGCTATTTTAATGGAAGGACAATTTTACTGTTAAATATTTTTAATTTAAATGCATTTTTACAAAAATCTCAAAAATTATAATTGGTTTAACTTTATTAAAAAAATCTTCCAGTGTTAAATGAATTAAAATAATCCCTGATATAATATAATGTAATGTTTTTAGCCCATATATTCTACAGCTACACCATAATTCTGTTTACTTTACATAATGTTTTAGGCATAAATTCAAGGTAACATTCTCGCAAAGCCACATTTAGCAATAAGAATAAGCAATTTCCTGTGCATGCAGAGTTATCATATACTTTTCAAAATGAAGTACACATTGACCTACTAAAGATTTGTGAGTATTTACAGTTTGATTTTTTCCTTAAGCAATTAAGGAAAGACTAATTAAGTAAATGATTAATGAGAAAACAGCAAAAGGTTACTACGGGATCTGCAGACTTGATGCGTTTATTGGTTTGATACACAGTGTTGAAAGAAGAAATCAGCGGTATGTCAGTGAGGTAAAAGGTTACTTTAAGCAGTATTGTAAATCACTCGCCATCTTGTCTAGGCATTCATCCAGTTACACAAAACCGCCATCAGGGCATCAAGAATGTTTGTATCTGAGCTTATCAATCAGGTCAAGGAGAACACAGAGAACTGACCCCTGAGCTTGTCATATTGATTCAGTTGCATTCCAGTGAACACAGCTTATGGCTGCATTCCAATGCAGAAAATATGCTGTGTATTTAACATCACTGTCGCTCAAATCATCTGTTCTAAAATGGTCCTATTATTTTGATAATAATGAAATTAATTTAAGGTAGAACTCAACAGGAAAACGTTGTAGTTTTCATTTTATGCATACTACATGGTTATATTATTACTTTTTAATATTTTTAAATAAAAGTATGGTTCGGTAAAAGAAATTAAATTGAGCATTGCTATAGTCCCAATGAAACAACATTCCATATAAAGTATATACTAGAAGTACTCTCTCACAATCATTGAAGTGCAGAGGTACTTTGCATGTTGGGCTGCACGTATTAACGTAAGGTTGTTGTAATGATGATTGATGAGTCGGGTATTAAAGAGGATCCTTTTGGACATTGCCCTCTTCTTCACAACACTTATCTGCATTTAAAAAGAGTCTGATATCTGCTGAACATGTAATAACTAAGGAGGAGGAAGCAAGGGACATGGGACAACTAATCCGTTTTGTATTTTTTATTTTTCTATATTATGTTCTGGCATGTATTCACCTAAAAAAACTAAAAGACAAAAAAATTAAAAACCAGACAGGGTCAATGGACTTGGTAAAAAAACAATTACTGTGTTAACGCAAGTAAAGCAATCATATCAGCTACAGACACAATATTATGACCATTCAATGTGCCTAATTAGTCATTTATACGTTTTATACTTAATCATACTTTAATCATACACACACTATACTGGTGTGGAGACATTATTAGGCAATACACAATATACATATTTATAAAGGCACTGTATGTCGTGGGGAAAAACTATAACAATGTGGCAAATGTCATAAATTTAGGATTTGGTAATAGAATATAGCACATTAATTTAATCTCCTTTTTTTAGGCTTTTTTGTTTCTGTTTCTCAGCTGTGCTACAGTGTATCAGACAAATTCATTAGAAAAACCTCTAAATAAAAAATTTACAACAACAAAAATACATTCATAAACATGCATCTGTTTGATGGACAGATATGTGTTTTGTTTTAAGAATTTATCCATGTTTCACAAAACTTGAAATGCATATATTTTATTTATATAGGTACCTATGAATACAGAGATCCAGCAACTTGATTAAAATCATTGTGGAAAAAGTCCCTGCTCATTGCGTAGGGAAAATAAACGAATCCAGAACTTCTTCATTAAACACAAAACAAAAAATAAACAAGGAAATAATTTACTTTTTTTTTTTTAAATGAATGTAAACAACAAAATGAAAGGCAAATTGTATATGTGTATTTGTTCTTGGTTTTGGTTAAAATTCAACGCATAATCCATTGACAAATTAGCTTGAAAGCTAAAAGCCACATGATTTCTGTTATTCGTGAGACACTACAGACACTGGAAATATAAATGCTGTTTAGATTTAACAAGTAACGTTGGAAATATTTCTAGCTAAGAACCCCTAAGGGGTGCTGTAGATTTTTTTTAGAAAATAAACTCAGTAACAATGAATCAATGACAACTCACGTTGAGCTTCACAGAGGACGGTTTAGTCCAGATTACAAAACCACGTGTTCTAACGATGTCCGTTTTGTGAATGATTCATTCTGTCAGAGTCGGATCTTCTCAATGAGTCGGTTGAATCGCTTCACAAAACCACCAGTCTCATCTACTCGTTCACGAGTCGGACAGAATGGTTCATGTAAGAATCAGTCCGAGCAGTTCTCATGTCAATATGCATATATATTTTGACGTTAAGTTGCATTATGTCTTCAATAAACTTAAAACTAAAACACCCTCATTATAAAATGTGATAGAAAAAAAGTTTCTGCGCAGCGATGACGCAATTACGTCAAGACGTAAAAGAATTCCTCAGTGAGTCCATTCAGATGAACTGTTCAAAAGAACCGATTCATGGAAACGAGTCAGACTCCCCTTAAGCCTCCGCACTATAGCCCTCCTACTTTCAGCTCGACAAAACCAAAGCTAAATGGCTATTGGTCGGTTTACCTGTCAATCACTACGTAAAAATGAGGCGGGTTTGAGAGAGCGAACACAAAAGGGCATTTGCGTGAAGGTCATTGAATGGGCTTTGGAAGTCGCTTGGGCTCCCATAAACTGAACTGTAAGATATACATAGAATTATAAAAACAACCAAACAGAACTAGAGTTTAGTCATTCGATTTATGCAATGGATCCTTAGTGTCTAAATGAAATATTGAAAACCCCGGACTAGGTAGGCTAGGCTACTGTAATAACTAGTCATTTTAAAACTCTCATCTAATAAACAGCAATGTTTCCAATTAGTAAATACTACTACTACTAATAAATAGGAAATAGGCAAATAATAATAACAATATAGGACACAATTTAATAAGATTTATGAACACATTCGAGTGACAAATTTATGTTCAAATCAGAAAAAAAATGTAGATTCACAAAAATGATTTACTACAGTCAATTCAATAAGAAACAGTTTACCAATTTAAATGTTAAAGTGTTTCCTCTGGAAAATTACAAAAAATATATATATATCCCCCGATATAGACACTTTTCCACATTCACAAAGAAAAACCTTACTGTTATCTCTCATATGAATGTATTGAAGTTTGGGACAGATGGCACATTCATTCTATTTCAAGTTATACTGTAATACATACTATAACCTTGAGCTATATTCAAAAGAAATAAACAATTGAAACAAAACATAAATCACTCACAAAGTCACACACAGTCATGAGCATTAAACCATTCTTGCATCAATTACAAACAGGGTATCACACATCAATTTTTTCTCTCCAGGAATCCTATACAAAATTTACATGAAACAACTGTCCCCATAACATCTGCTCCTCACGTCCATTAACTGTAATAAACCATATAAAACATAAGGAAAAATTCACAGCTCATCACTGCATGACAGAATGGACAAAGAATTAAAGTTTGTCCACTGAAATATGATTTTGAAATATGCTAATAGTCTTACACAAACACAAATCTTTTGAGTAGCACAGCATCATCAGCAGAAATGTGCAATCTGGCTCACGGTTTCCTAATTTAACTGCACATTGCATATTGGCCTGAACTGTGCTGTTTTAATAGCTAAAGAAACATGCAAACTGAGCTTTCTACACTAAAGCTTTGAGCTACATGCCACATATCCCTGCATAGCCAAAAAAATAAAAAAACCATTCCCCACACACATTCGAGTGACAAATTTATGTTCAAATCAGAAAAAAAATGTAGATTCACAAAAATGATTTACTACAGTCAATTCAATAAGAAACAGTTTACCAATTTAAATGTTAAAGTGTTTCCTCTGGAAAATTACAAAAAATATATATATATCCCCCGATATAGACACTTCCACATTCACAAAGAAAAACCTTACTGTTATCTCTCATATGAATGTATTGAAGTTTGGGACAGATGGCACATTCATTCTATTTCAAGTTATACTGTAATACATACTATAACCTCGAGCTATATTCAAAAGAAATAAACAATTGAAACAAAACATAAATCACTCACAAAGTCACACACAGTCATGAGCATTAAACCATTCTTGCATCAATTACAAACAGGGTATCACACATCAATTTTTTCTCTCCAGGAATCCTATACAAAATTTACATGAAACAACTGTCCCCATAACATCTGCTCCTCACGTCCATTAACTGTAATAAACCATATAAAACATAAGGAAAAATTCACAGCTCATCACTGCATGACAGAATGGACAAAGAATTAAAGTTTGTCCACTGAAATATGATTTTGAAATATGCTAATAGTCTTACACAAACACAAATCTTTTGAGTAGCACAGCATCATCAGCAGAAATGTGCAATCTGGCTCACGGTTTCCTAATTTAACTGCACATTGCATATTGGCCTGAACTGTGCTGTTTTAATAGCTAAAGAAACATGCAAACTGAGCTTTCTACACTAAAGCTTTGAGCTACATGCCACATATCCCTGCATAGCCAAAAAAATAAAAAAACCATTCCCCACATTAGAACATCTTTTGAAGAAAAAAAAAAAATCACAGCTGCCACTGAGAAGATGCTACAATTCTGCTGTATGAAATAATCAAAATATCTCATAAATGCAACATGAGGTTATGAAAAGCCTCTTGCAAACATCCAAAAGGGAATAAAAACAAATGTTTTCCCCCTCCTTTCTGCCAAAGTTATACACACACATATATATACACACATAGCTGGAAATAATGTAATAAAGTCCGTTCATTACCAACTTTATACATTCATTAATTTCGAAAGAAATGTAAACTGTAAAATATGCTATTTTTGAGGGAAAAAAACACCTCCTCACCTTTACTTACACCTTTAAATGAAGAGAAAAAAAAGAAACCAAACAGACTCTTTTGACAAACCATTTAACATAGTTATACATACATATGTGAGGATCTGCTAATGTATAATGACTGCATTGTGGTGAATTTTTAAATCAGCTTTCATGTAGTAGTCTGACATCTTTCACATTATGCCAGTTTCGCCATGCCTGTTTAAGTTAGTAATGTCTAATATAATGTTTTAAGAATTATATATATATATATATATATATATAAAAACATCACAAGATACAAACAAATTGCACAAATTTAGTCTGTTTGAAAAAATTTACATAATTTACACCTATATTTCTTTATGAATTCCAAATTTACATTTGTCTGTGACTACTAATGAAACTACAAAAAGCACCAATATTAATGCAAGTTTTTTTTTCTCAGGCAGTTTAGTGCAATGGTTCATGTTGACACCTGAATCCTGAGCTCTGCAATATTTCCATGGATGCTGGTTTCTCTAGCTGCCTCAGACGGAATATGAAGAGAATTTGAAAATGCTTCTCATCAATAAATCTATACCAATAATTCTTTCAAAGTACCCAGTAGCACCAATATGCTGCAAAATCCTGTGTTTAGTCTTTGGGCATACTTTAACACAGCAATAACATATTAATCTAAGACAGAGACGATATATATTAAGGCACTTGTGTTCACAACAGGTTTTGTTCAAGGGTTTGTGTAAATTCTCAACTAATGATGCAAGTACTCTACGCTCTATTTTCACCATTACCTTTGTTTATTGTTTTCTATCAAACAGGAACTTTTCTCTAAAGGTTTTGTTTTTATTCTTGCATGTCTCAACTGGAATGTGTATGGTTATTTATGAAGAGGGTATAACCACCCCAAAAATGAACAATGAACGCAAAAAAAGAGAGCAAAACACTGACAGCAACTAAAAATGAAAAATACTGTGGAGGTGGAAAAGATGAGGAAAGTTATGAGCAGAAAAGTTACTGGTTTGTGCAAAAGCAGATGCAAAAGTCTGGTTCAGTTTCTCCAACTGCCCTAGAAAAAGCAAATGGTAAAGTCAGTCCAATTATCACTGATTCAACATGGAAATACTAACAGACATTGCAATACTAGGTATTCTCAGATCAAGAAACAAATGTTAGATGATTTTCCCCATTACATGACATAAGTACATAAAGTCTCCCAACTGTATGCCTTTACCTGCTGTCTAATGGGGCTTCCTACTGAGCTTCAGACTCTTCGCCGGGCTGAGGTGCCTCTGCCTCACATTCAGGGTTCACAGAGTGAAACTCTGCCACATACAGGCTCTTATCAATGCTGCCAGGAATGGGCTTTATGTCCGTCATCAGCTGGTCCTCAGTGGTCTTCAGGTTAAAGCGATCCTCAGCGGAAATGAGATTGATTGCCAAACCCAGATGTCCAAACCTGCCTGCAAATTCAACACAGGGACCATATAATGATACATTATACATATTATAAAAGTGTAAACTATTTAATATAAAAGTGTCAAGTCTAGATAATGTAATCCTAATTTAATCCACCACATCTTTGTTGTTTGTTAACTTCACCTGAGCGTCCGATGCGATGCAGGTATGTTTCTGCATTCCTGGGAAAGTCAAAGTTGATGACCACATTTACTGCCTGGATATCGATGCCTCTAGTGAATAAATCTGTTTCAAGAGCATAAATTCATTGAGTTAGAAACACCTTGACAAAACATACATTTTATTTTTACAGTTGAGGTTGTTATTATGCAATTACACAAAAAAAGAGGTAAGATGCTGTATAATGTACTACACTCACCTGTGCAAACAAGGTTCCTGCAGAGCCCGTTTCTGAAGTCGTGAAAAACACGGTTTCTGTATTCCTGCCATATGAATGAAATGACGCACAATATGTTTGCAGTCACAAGCATTTGACTGAAATTAGTAAATCATACTGAACAGATCTGAATTACACTGGAACTGACAACAGCAAAAGACATACAGTACCTGCATCATCTTCGCATGAATGTAGAAGCAGGAGTAGCCCAGCTGCGTGATCTTCTTGGCCAAAAGCTCCACTCGCTGAGTAGAGTTACAAAAGATAATGGACTGATTTATCTGCAACTGTGGAGAGAACAAGTACTTGGGTCATGTCAATTGTTGTAACAATGCCTTTTTTTTTAGAATTCACAAAAGAACAAAACTACAGCATAAAAGGACTAGCTCACCAAAAAAATGGACTCTCCCTCAGTCCGACCAAGATGTAAATGATTTCTTTCACTTGAACAGATTTGGAGAAATTTTGTATTACATCACTTATTTACCAATGGATCCTCTGCAGTGAATGGTTGCCTTCAGAATGAGAGTCCAAACAGCTGATGAAAACATCACAATAATGCACGCGAGCGACTCCAGTCCATCAATTAACATCTTGTGAAGTGAAAAGATTTTGGCTAAAGTCCTCTATCTATAACTTTGCATCCTCCAGTGAAAAAATACAAACTTAGGAAATATATGAGATATGTTGTATATAACTTTGTTTACAAGACTGAAAACAGCTGAAACATGCAGCTTTTCACTTCTCAAGACATTAATTAATGGACTGGGTCATGTCGCTTACTTGTGGATTATTATGCCGTGTTTATCAGCTGTTTAAACTCATTCACTACAGACAATTTATTTGGTGAGTAAGTGAAGTAATGCTAAATTTCTACAAATCTTTTCTGATGAAGAAACAAACTCATCTAGATCTTGGCTAGCCTGAGGAATTCATCATTGTTGTGACATGAAATGTTACTTGCCCTAAATATAATTTTTTTTTTTTAAATGTCCTAAACGGAAATGGACTCTTTACCCTGGAGAACAGTGTGTTAAGGCAGTGGACTTTCTGTCTTTCTGTGACATAAGCATAGTACTGAGTAATGCCTTTCAGGGTCAGTTCCTCCATCAGATTAATCTCATAGGGCTTCTGCAGGTGCTTTGCCTGAAGAGATACAAAGTGTATAAATGTAAAATCTGCAGATGTAGAAAGAGACAGATGAGCACAATGAAAGCATAAATGTGTTCAAAACGATCCACAGATTTCTCTAACCATAAACTTCTGTACGCTGATGGGGAATGTGGCTGAATAGAGCAGAATCTGTCTGTTCTTTGAAAGGAAAGCAATGATGTCCTCAATAATAACCACAAAGTCCTGAGAGAGCAGCTTATCAGCCTATAATAATACAAGCAATGAAGTGTAAACTTGGTGGTATTGATAACATATAAACACCTAAATAACTCTGTCAAGATGTGCAGTTGGGACAGAGTGCAACAGGATATAATAATTTTATTAATTATAATTGTATTCATATTCTGACAGGTAGGTATGTACAGTTAGCATGTGCAATACTCACCTCATCCATAACCATCATATGCACTTTATCCACCTTGGCTATGCCCTTTTTTATCAAGTCCAAAATTCTGCCAGGTGTTGCTATAACAACATGAACTGCAAAAAAAAAAAAAAAAAAAAAAACGTTTTGAACAACATGCTTTTACTGCAGAAGATGTTCACATTGTAATCTCTTTATGATTAGGTGATCACTGAACATTACCCTCCTCATCCAGGCGCATGATATCATCTCGTAGGTTGGTCCCACCTGTGGTTGCCATGACCTTGACACCACCCAGGTGCTTGCTGATCTGAATACTGATCTGACTGACCTGCAGAGCCAGTTCACGAGTGGGAACTATCACAACGGCTGCAGGTAAACAGAAAGATGGTACAGTAAAAAAAAAAGGTGTTGGGGATAAGAGGTACATCTTGTGTAAACTGTTTTGAGAGAGAGATACCTTGGATATGATCCTTTTTTATGTCAATTCTCTCCAGAAGGGGGATCAGGTATGCACCACTCTTTCCGGTCCCGTTTTTGGCACGAGCCAGTATATCGCGCCCAGAAAGGGCAATAGGAATGCTCTCCTCCTAAAATAAAAAAAATCAAAGGAATAATTTACCCAAAAACAAAAATTTGCTGAAAATGTACTCATCCTCAGGTCATCTGAGAATGTGTTTACTTCATCAGAAAAAATTTGGGGAAATTTAGCTTTACATCATATGCAGTGAATGGGTGCCGTCAAAATGAGAGTCCAAACATCTGATTAAAACATCACAATAATCCACATCACTCCAGTTCATCAATTAACATCTTGTGAGGAGAAAAGCTGCATGTTTTCAAGTAACAAATTTCATTAAGGCATTTTAACTTGAAATTGTCGCTTCTGGCCAAAACACGAGTCCATAATACAAAAAAATATTCATTCCCTGTTGTCCTCTCACATCAAACTCCACCAACATATTTGTTTAGAACTGTTTGCGCTTGTATCAGGTGCTTGATTTGTGCATATTTCTCTCCTGATTCAGACAAGATTACTTTTCCACCACTGTAGAAAGCAATAGTATGGCTCTATTACTATTACGTGGCTTTTATGCCAATATAGGAAGCAACAATTTGAAGTTAAAAACGTCTTGAAGGGGCGGTTCGTTACAAACATTCAGCTTTTCACTTCACAAGACATTAATTTATTGACTAGAGTCATATGGATTATAGTTATGTTTTTAATCAGCTGTTTGAACTCTTATTCTGGGTGAATTCACTGCAGAGGATCCACTGTTGAGCAGGGTATGTAATGTTAAATTTCTCCAAATCTGTTCTGAAGAAAAAAACTAATTTACATCTTGGATGGCCTGAGGGTGAGTAAATTCTCTTCAAATTTTCATTTTTAGGTGAACTATTCCTTTAAGCATAAACACTGAGGATACTCATTTTTTTCAGAAAGACTGGTAACTTGTCTATGTTTTGAAGTTCTTGCATCTATTACCTGAATCGGGGAGGGCTTTTCCCAGCCCATCTCAAAAATGCCCATCAGCAGCTCTCTTTTTAGACAGTAGTCCTCAAACTCATTCCCTTTGGTTGCAGTCACATCCTTGTGAGAAAGAAAGAGTATGAAACTGATGGATCACAAGGAGATCTGTATTTATACTTTACAAAATGAAAAACAATCACTATTCATCAAATGCATGTTGCATGTTATATATATACACATGAATTCTTCATCATGTGTTATGGTGAAAAAACAAGCCATCCTTATAATGACATTACATTAGTTGGGGATTCTTTTTGCACTATTTTTAAAAAGTGAAAGTTTAAAACATTTCACTAAAAGACTTACAGAAGTTTTGACTCTACCGTCCTTAGCGGGGAGCTGTAGGCTTTTTTTCCAGTCATCACCAAACCTGTGTGTCAATATATTAATATATATACTTCTGTTCAAATGTTTGGGGTCAGTAATATTATTAAGAAAGAAATTAATATTTTTATTCAGTAAGGACTTATTAAATTGACCAAAAGTGACAGTAAAGACAAAGATTTCTTATTACACCGATAATAAGAAATGTTTATTGAGCAACAAATCCATACATTAGAATGATTTCTGTAGGATCATGTGACACTTAAGACTGGAGTGCTGAAAATTCAGCTTTGCCATCACAGAATTTTTTATTTTAAAATAAAGACAGTTATTAGCAATTGAAATTATAATAACATTTCACAATTTTACTGTATTTTTGATCAAATAAATGCAGCCTCAGTGAACATAAGACTCTTCATTCAAAAACAAAGAAAAGAAAAAAATTCGAACAGACCCCAAACTTTTAAACAGAAGTGTACACATGTCATACATGTCAAATATACCACACATACATTCCAATTAAGCAAACAAGTGTTAAATATGACACTATAGCAAGCTTACCTGATACCAGGTCTTTCCTGAGATGCATTGGCTGGTTTCTGGGTCACCATGGGCTCCTTTCCAGGCTGAGCACTCACAGTTTGGGGTCCTAATTGAGAGGGGGCTTTAGGCTGTCCTAAAAGCTGCCTGTTGTGTGTATTCAATCCCATGACAGCCGGGCCAGTGTTCTCCATCTTTGTTGCCATTTTTTAAGTTTCTGAAGTTTTTCCACTTCTTTTTCACTTTTTTAACGCCTGCCTATGGTCTAATAAGATCTAGTAAACCATTCAGTGTCCACAAGGTCTCAATAAAAAAAGTGTCACTAAAGAATCTTATGAGATATTAACAAATTCTACATACAGCTTAGCCTCTATAACTAAGAGCAATGCTGCCACACAATATATATTACAAGGTCTCTTCTAAAAGAAGAGAAATAAATATTTAAGTGTAAAAATATTGCAAACCTGCACAAAGTATAGAAAATTATACCTGGACGGGTGTAATAAAGAACTAGTCTGCTAAGGCAATGTGAACTACAGAAAGACCTAGACCAGAACTTTCTTTTCGTTTCTACACTTCTGCAACATTTACAGTATGCAAACGGAGCTTTGTAGCCTTCTGGATGCCAGTTCTCACCTTTTCTTCTTCAAATGCAGTTTAACTCTCAAATGTCCTGATCACAGAGATCATTCGTTTAAATTATACATTTGTCTGGTAGGTAGGATTCACTCCAGCACATTAATAGACAAAAGAACACTTCAGGGTGACTGCAGTTTAAATGTCCAACAGGGCTGAATACAAGTCAGTTCTTTAAATAATAAGTTAGGTGGAGATCTTGTGTTTGTCCTTTCCTCTGTGCTGACATCCAGTTGTGCCCACAGCTGTGCCACCTGCAGAGGAACAATGTGAAAATCAAAGACAATTCACTATACAAACTGAAAACGGCATGAAACATTCTGAAAAATATCCAGTATTCATTTATTACCATTTTACAGTAGTAACTATATCATCTATGTTATATTGGTATAACATATACGCGGATGTGATAATAGGTCATTGCTTATTTAAATATTCCCCTGTCAGAAAAAGCACTGTATTGGTCTCATAGTATAACATGGAAATACTAAAAAAAGTACCTTGTTGTCACGATACTGAATGTTTCCCATTTTGAAAATCCAAAAAAGTTGTACTTTAAGGTACTTATAGTTACAGTAATAACATTGAATTAACGTTACCACGGCACTTTTACTGAGAGTGTCATTGACAGTACAACTTTATCTCTGCAAAAAAAAAACATAAATAAATCAATACAGCCTTACTTTCTGACAGGTGGTAAATAGAGTTAACTACCTTCATATTTACTGTCGCTGGTTTACAAATCACTATTCAGCTCAAACCAAATGTTTTATATTAACCTGTAAACGAGCTAATATAATTACGCCAGTCAGTCCCTTCACAACTCTACAACATGAAATAAAAGTCTGGCTTGAACTTTTTAAACACAAGCATTTCAGACTTACAAAGATTGAGACTGATAATCGTTTCCAGTACATAAATAATATAAATATCGCTTCACTTGCTAGTTACTTCAGGCAAGCAAAACATAATCCCAAACAGACCGACATCAAATAGTTTAGTTGGCACGTGAATTGTGCTAAGCTAGGCTAAACGTATAACATTACTGCGTAATATCCGATAGTTAAAACCAAACATTTACCTTTACCAATGTCAGTATCCTATGCTGCCATATATGTGAGGTAAATTAATTGGTAATCAACGTAGTATGTATCATGTCGCTATAAGCAGCTCGTCTCTTTGTTGTATTTCTGTCAACACGGTCGACATGCATTGAACGTCAGTGGGCTTCATATGAGGTGCTGCCATCAACGGTACGGAGGCTCTTATGACCACAGGACTATCAAACATGCGTTTATTTACTGCATTTCTTTCTTTGAATGTATGCCTTTATTCCCTTAATTACTGTGGTATCCATAGTGTATTTTAGGGAGTGTTAGTCATAATAAATATTAATAATACAAGACAAAACATAAAAATAATATTAATTATATTGAAATAATACAAGAATATTAATAAATTAACAGTTAATGATTTCAGACTCACTCTTTATGTTACTTGAAATTCTTATAAATAAGTGATTAGTACTTATTATCAAGTTACCATATTTTTCTTGTAGTAACAATAGGCTAACTGCATTTTGTAATATATAGGCCAAAATGTAAAACAACACCGGAAACAAAGTTGCTTTAAAAATAGTGGATTATTTATTTATTTATTGCATTTGACATTCAGTTCATCAAAATCCTCTCAGAAATGTACAGTATAGAACAAACATCTTTGGTGTTATAAGAAAAAAAGTACAGGTCTGAATCTAATTTGGTTATGGTTATGAGCACCCTTCAGCTGTTTAGTTTACTGCATAAAAACATGAACTGGTAACAAGTCAGCGAAAGTTTCTGGTGCATCTGGACAGTTCTTCTTCAAGAAATGATGAGGTAACCTGTTAATATAAAGGTTCACGTGTAGACAACAGTACTCTATGAACACACACAATGCTGTAAAAGCTTATAACCGCGCATCCTCAAAGGCCTCAAAGTTTTGTCTGGTGTATAACGCAAATATCCTTGTCAAATTAACTATACATTTTCAAATAATGCTATAGCTGACATTGTAATACAAGCAGGGGTGTCAAAGTAATTTCAATTCATGAGCCGAACTGGACTAAATGCCACCTTATGTGGAACAATTTAATTTTTTTTTTTTTTTGAAACACCATACAGAGTGCATGCACAAAACATGCCCACAACTGTAGAATAAACTTTATGCTGCTTTAATAACCAATAATGAGGTACAAATAAAGATTTACTAAATTTAAAAAGGTTACATTTTTAAATTAAACAAGCGAGAAAAACTAAAGCTGTGTGTTTAACACCCTCTCTTTAAACATTCGATCCATTTTCATTTCAGATAAAAATAAGAAGTCAGAAATGGTGACTTAAAATCAACAGTGCAGTTACTTTAAAAATTTTTAGTTTGCAGTGCAAAAGCAGCTAGGATTGATCTTATTGCATCACTACAGGCACAATGGTGAAATTTTGATGGATGCTGAGACATTCAGTTTGGTCAGAACACAACAGTGAATAGTTATTGTGAATACCTAAAAATGAGTCACTCTGATGAAAAAACTGCACATTAAGCCTGTAACTCTGGTATTGTAATTTGGATATACAATTGATTCCAGGAGTTGAGCTGGTGGATTGACTCCTCTTTTTTTTTTAAATACATCTCTTGTCAAAACTAGTTTCACTTTATTGTTATTTAGATCCCTGGAACTTCTTGGACCTTGGTGGTCCAGCAGGACTTTTCCGAGCCTAAACTGTCTAACTGAGCCCCGGCTGCCTCTGATCCGCAGGTTGTTCCTCTAGCTGGAAGACTTCTCTGATTCGTTTCACACATATATCAGATGCTTCCTGGGTTTCTTTGGAGAGCTGAAATAGGCTCAGGAAGCCATGAGGAAGGTCTTCAACCACAGTGAGCGTCACAGGCTGGTTTATATTCCTAAGCTTTTTGGCAAACATCACTGAATCATCTAACAGGGCATCCAAAGCAGAAGCCTGAGAAGAACAATCAAAGCATTAAAATAATAGTTTCAACATTGTTCCTGGAAATGCATTTTCATTAGGTCTTACCACTATATGTACTGGTGGAAGCCCCTTGAGAAGACTGTCCGGAGCAAGTAGAGGAGAAACAAATGGGTTCTTCATTATTGGTGTGCAAGGTGTGTGTATATCCACCAGACACCTAGACCGGAGTGGCTCAAAGTTTTCTGGGTATTCTTGGACTTCCTGTGGTTTCGCTACAGAATGTGACTTGGAAGGTGAAGGACCGTTTGATGGTATGGTTGAAGAGGATGATGCTGCTGCTGCTTTTGGTTCTAATAAATTCTGAAACCAATTTGTCGCTCCTTGGGTGAAGTTAGTCAACAACTTTACTGTGTCCTGTCCCAAAGCGGTCAAGGTGTCTATCTGCTGAGCTGGCTGCACTGAGTGACAACTCGAACCTGAGATAGAGAGAGTGACCAAGAAACAGTACAATCATGAAGGTGCGGTAGATAAAGCTGTTTTGAAACAATCTGTACTGTATAAGCGCTGTAAGTAACATGACTTGACTCAAAAGCTCACCAGCATAGGCATCGATACACTTGTAGAGCACGCTCAAAGGCAGCAGAGGGTCGATTAAAGTGAGCAGTCTGGATGGTGAGGCGTCTGTTGTTAGCAGAGTTGCTGGGTAGGCTGCCACAATCCCATCAGGAACACGTACACAGAGAGACATTGCCCTCATAGAGACAGTTATGCACAAGTTACCGCCTGCACTGTCTCCTACCAAACAAACACGCTCTGCAGTCGAACCTGTGAAGCAAGATCAACATTTAGAAATTCCTGATGCATGGTTGGCATGGATTGCTTGTCATGTCCACACCTACTAGTATGCTCACACACCTTAAGGTAAAAATAAAGTTCAAGTATTACTGGCTTTCCTACTAGTTGATTGGATGGTAAAAACTTCAATGTCATTACATTTAAAAATTAAACTGATTCAGCCATCAGATTATGGGCATTTGACCAAATACTTTTGGGAAGCTTTGTAGTATGACGTTATACTTCATCTAAAATAAGTTTACAAAATATTTTATAATTATTATACACTACTGTTAAAAAGTGTGGGGTCAGATTTTTTTATGTTTTTAAAAGAAGCCTCACCAAGGCTGCATTTTATTGAAATTGTACAGTATTATACTGTACAGCACTGTACAGTAATATTGTATAATATAATAAAAAATTTAAATAACAGTTTTCTATTTGAATTCATTTTATAATGTCATTTTTTTCTATTTACAGTCATTACTCCAGTCTTCAGTGTCACATCATCCTTCAGAAATCATTAATATGCTAATTAATATGCTAACTTGCTGCTCAAGCAACACTTCTTGATGAGTAGAATATTTGTATTTGCAATTTAATTTGTTGCAATATATATAATTTTCTATTTAGCCAGCAATAAAATCATTGACTAGTGCATGTAAATATTAAAATTGCAGCATATCCCCATTAAAGGGGCCTTTCTCTTTGGAGTGTTACAAGCTCTTGGTGCATAAAGAAGATCTGTAAAGTTGCAAAGACTAAAGTCTCAAATCCAAAGAGATATTCTTTATAAAAGTTAAGAGTCAACCACGCCTACCTAAAACGGCTCGTTCTAACACGCCCCCACATGTTTACATCACAATGTGGGAAGATTTGCATAATGCCGCCCAAATGTTCACGCAAAGAAAGAAGGCGTAACTTTTATTCTCGGTGTAGTATTGTTGCTGCCGCCACGGCGCCATGTCGTGAAGGTGCTGTGTGTTTCCTTGTGGAAAGCAAAACTACTTTGTTTGGCCTTCCAAAAGAGGACGATATGGCTTCATCATGCATGGAGCTGATCTGTGCTGGTCGCTGAGGAAATACATCAACTTTGCGCTGTGACTTTTGCCAGCTTTCACCATGGACGAAGCGGAGTCCAGCCCGGGGTCGTCACATGTGGTTGCCGCAAGCCCGCCGGATGCTCCTTCGTCGAATTCTCCGGCCGCGCCGTTCTCAAGCCCGCCGCCTCAGCTCACTCAAGCTGGCCTCCACTCACTCTAGCCCGCCTGCTTCTGCTCACTCAAGCCGGCCTCCGCTCACTCTAGGCCGCTGCTCACTCTAGGCCTCTGGCCTCCGCTCACTCAAGGCGTGTGACGCTGTTTTGTTGTGAAAGCGAAACTAATTTGTTTGGCCTTCCAAAAGTGGACATGACTAGAAATCAGTGGTTAAGTTGTATTTACAACAGTTCCAGAACAGTTTAACCCAAATATCCAGATGTGTGCAGCACATTTTATGGAGGACCATTTCCTGATCCTGG